ATTTATCATGTTCAAATGAGGGCTCAAATTAAATAATCAGTTTAAAGAAAATGTAATTTCAACAATAAGGACCTATTTATAATTGTATAATTGTATAAATATCATTTTGACATGATTTTACTTATCTAGGTGTATCATTTTTACATATCAATTCAACAAACATGCAAATATATGTAATATAGGGGGGAGTTTGATTAGATGTGTAGAAGTAGTTGGCTATGCAACACCAAACTTTGCTTGTATAATGTGCTGGCTTTGACACAAAATCTAGCAGATTTCTTCTAAGCATGAGGCTGAGTGAGTGTTGCATCTCCTTAATAAGACAATATGTTTATATGATCCTCCATAGTAAAAAGTAATGTGTCCAGACTTTGGACTATGCTTCTGTTATTTAATGGATTGCTTCACTATTTGCAACAACATATCTGTGTCAGTTGCTTCTGGTGTATCCAGTAAATTTATGACTACATAAGAACTTATTTTGTATTGTGCGTTATATGTCACTGGAGCCAAAGAAGTGTTAATTGGCAGCAAAAAGATATTAAGTCACCTATGGTGTTTTTTTAAGTGGAAGTTTGTTTTGATTGGCCATTGCCAATGTACAGAGATGTACATTCCATTGATATTTATGAGTTTGGGCTGCCTGTATTATTTTAGGATTTGTTCAAAGACTTACTACTGATTGCTTCATACTCTGCTTGTTTGGGATAGGCTTACTTGGGCATGCTGCCTTCTTTTTTCTTTGTAAATTTTTCCTTTCGCTGTATTATTTTGAAAGCATGCCCAGAATTCCTTTGACCAAGAGACCCATAATTATAAATAGCTATTACCTAAATTTCTATTTAGTTTGAAAGGTTATAAGAATATGTATAATAAATTAACGTGCAGCCCATGTGTGACCAAAAGCAGCAGAACGAATGGTGTAATATAAGTATGATATAATCTTGCAGAAAGTTCAAGCTGGCCAAATTTACAGTTATTGTCACAATGAACTGCACATTCCAAAAGGCTTCAGGTCTTTCTATCCATTGACACATTCCAGATGATGGTGCAATGGAAGGACATTTCCTTACCTGGCAGCAGTGCTTATACAGTATAAGAGCTTGCTTTTATCAGCTTTTATCCTTATCCCTTTTAAATTTTAGGTCTAAACTCTGTAGTCTCCACTTCTGTAACACCGGAACACATATATCTTCTTTACAGTAACATATTTTAAACCTTGCTTTTAAGCATAGCCACATGCCTTGTCCTGAGCCAAAACATGACTTTGTCCAATGGTGCCTTAATGCTGACTGGCAGGAGCTCTCCAAGAATAAAGACAAGTGACATTTTGAATGCTACTTGAAGTTCACAGGAAACTGAACCTGGGATTCTCTGCATATAAAGTATTTAATTCTGCCACTGAACACAGCTTTTCATAATACTGTAGGAACAGAGTAGCATACCACTGGCATAGGATATGATTACTGCAGGGTTTTTTTCCTTCTAAGAAAACCCAAACCCCAAACGTGACAGCTGTAGTCAAGCTTTCCATTACATGTAGTTTGCAGATCTCTGTACCTGGTAGCTTTAATTATGAGATGTGTGGTGAAAGAATTTTAAAAGGATGATTTGAAGAATAACACAAAAATTAAAAATGAATGTGTAATATAAATAATGAATTCAGCTTCCATTTAATTTCATTCCCTGTAGTTACCTTGAGGTAAGATAGGCGGCCTATTAAATTTTATAGATAAATAAATAGTTTGGTGTAGTGGTTAAGGCATTAGCTAGAAACTGGGAGACTATGAGTTCTAGTCTCACAAAGCCAGCTAAGTGATCTTGGCCAGTCACTGTCTCTCAGCTCTAGGAAGAAGGCTGAGAGATAGCAAGCCACTTCTGAAATCTTGCCAAGAGAACTGAAGGGACTTATCCAGGAGTCAAGACTAACTTGAAGGCACACACACACAAACATAACCCAGTAGCCAAAAGTTTTTTTTGTCTTGTCAAGAGGTTTTTGAAACAACAACATCAACAACAAAAATAGATACAGAATGCCTCCTGAATAAAATATGGTAAAACATGGCGGACACAGGGTAGACAAGTTGTAAGGGTCAATGCTTATGCTATCTGTTAATACTGGTGATGACACATGTATGGAAATTGCAATCTATTGAATAGGAAATTGCAATCCCATTCATTCTCATTGTAGTCATTAGCATCTTTTCCAATATCACCTCCCCAAACTGCTTTACAAGTGCAATTCTCAGACAAAGAGAGTACAACAGATCAAGTCTCTAAGCAGTTATAAAATAGCTGTTTGGAAACTTACAATAAAGTTCAGGGCATTTATTTAAAAAGGACATAAGAGCAAAAATGAAAGAAATGTAAATAATATTCAGCATTCTGAAAATATTCTTTTGATATTTTAATATTTTCTCTGACTTTCAGTACTAATATTTGCTATGATCATGATTACAATCTGAATTCAAAACATACTGCAAACTTATTTGCTTCTTACTTTATTGCCATATTTAAAAATATATTTACTTTCAGTGTTTGATCCTTTAAAAAACCAGACCTGCATCTTCTACAGGTTAGATGCCAAATATATTTTTCTGCGTGTGAGGATGAAGGATGTAACTGTAAGACTGTTTGGCTCAAGGGCATATTGGCTTAAGGTCAAGAGTATCTTATTCTTTCCCTTCACACAAGTTTTTGGTTTAAAAGAAAATTGCCAAACCCATGGATATATTTATAACTTAGCAACTCCACACTAAATAGGAAGTTCTCTTTCATTCTGTTGGCAACTCTGACTGTCACATGGCATAAGTAATCCAATTGGACAGTACCTTTGAACAAATTTAGTCTAGCAAACCCAAGATAGCCTTGGTTTTAGTTAAAAATACCACTTCTGGTATTTAATTGTGTGGGATAATAAAAAGTAGTCAGTATTCCCAAGTTCTGTTTATGCCTTGGGTAGGCACCCAAAGTAAAAAGATGGATGATTTTAGAATTATTATTCAAAATGATCTGAACTTGCCAATAAGACATGTATGTATTTGACCTAAGAAGATTTCCTTCCTCTCTTATTTCCATTTCTTGCTATATGGTAATCTGTTAAAGTAATGAAGAAATTGATGGCTTCACAATTAGCAATTAAAGTATGTTCACTTTATAATTATTACAGCAAATCTCCAAAATCTACAATTTATGGTCCTTTGTTGTAAACATACTATTTTTAGATGCAACAGGAAAATGCAAGTGCATTAAAATTCTAATTTGACAAAGAATGTACACCCTCGCAATTTCAACAGTAGTATCATCATATTAGTCTCAAACATGGCAAGATGAAGAGACACATGGGCCTCTGTTCCTCATGAAAAAGTGGTAAACAAAGAACTTTTGATATTTAAGAGAGAGAAAGACGATTCTCCAAAATAGAAGCACTGTTGAATTATGGCACTGTGGCAGACATTTCAACCTTATAATGACCTCTCATCTTGTTCTGCCCTACAGCAAAACTCTTATTACTCCACATTTAAGACAGAAGGAATGCACATCTGCAGTGAGGTCTAAACTCAAATTTGTCACCAACGTAACCAGAACTCTGTATACAATTATATTTTTATTTTCCAATACTCATCTAAAGCAAGATTTTTAGTCCTTTACATACTATACTTCCAAGCAATATATTACAATATATATTTTGAAAAAGAAAACAGCCACATTTTCTAACCATTTAATCTTATCAAGCCACCAAGATTCTTTCTGGCAAAATGAGTGATATTTGTGTGAGATCTGTATTTAAGAAGCAGTCATTTCACATGCATTGAAATTTACATTGTTCTAAAACTATGCTTGGGTGGGGGAATGGAAATAGCTTTGCTTTAAGAAGCCAGAAGAGGGCACTCATTAGTAGTCAATCAAATTCTATTTAAAATCTTATAATGGAACAAAGTCAAGAATCTTGTATAGATATTCCCAAAATGAAATAGGATTGGAGTAACTAGAATTCCAGAATTAAGATAAGAAACATTTTAGAAATTTTATAACAGTGGACAACACTAATAAGGACAATTGTAAATTACTGTAATCTACATGTTATGGCCACAGAAATAACCCCATTTTAAAGCAGCATGCTGTAAGCTATAAAATAGTATACATCATCAAGCCCAAAACAACAGTCACAGTACTTAAGATGTTCCTTTGAAAAAGTCACATATGGGAGCAATAGACAGAGAAGATTTTCTTTCAGTTGAATGAGAGTGTGAATCTTGGTAATAACTAAAAAATTTTAAAAACATATTTTAATCAGTGGTATTGTGGCAAATCACTGCTGAGCTAAAATTCTTTTTCTTGGTAGGAAGGGAAGGTGAGAAACATTTGGGACTGTTTGTGTAATATGAAAAATGAGACTAAAACAGAAATGGGCAGTAGAAGTTTAGATCTGCCTTTCTTTGTTTAGGCAGATGACTTAGGTAATTTTTGATTAAGTGTGCACGCTTTATTCTCTGAGGTTATATTTTCCTGTAGAATCACTTATGTACATTAAATACTGTTTTTGTACACTTGACTTAGATTGTCAGAAAGCCAAGATAGGATAAAAGTAAGAATAGAACCATTATGTCCTCGTATAAAGTGGAAGGCAAATGATCCACTTGTTAAAGCATTTTCTGGAATAACATCAAAAACATCTACACATTGACATAGATACTTGCATGTGACAATTTCCAAGAAACGTTTTGAATCAGCTCTTTTATTTATCTGGTGTACTTCCTTATAAGAATCTGCATAACTACACATAAAAAGATTTCCCTTAAAAAAAGACTGCTTAAGTGTAAGGAAATTGGGAAATCTCAACATTGAGGAGGTGCTTGTGGATAGGATTTTCAAGGAATAACCTAATTCAGGTCTTAATAACATTATATAGAGTTATTTTAGGACTGGCCTCATGCTAACTCTCTGTTGTGGAGTCTGTAACCATTTTAATAAGGTACATAAAACATCCTTCTGTTTACCTGCACTGGTGCCTGCACCGGTTGTGAGGTCCCCACCCATCAGGCCACCTAGGAGAGGACAAATAAAATAGTCAAACTGAGAGAGGAGCTGAAGAAACCACAAAGGTCAAGCAGCAATTACAGTTTATTCCTCAAAGTAATGTGAGCCCTTGAGGAGTTTGTACCACCAGAATTTTCATAAAGATCAGGCTGTTTGAGCCACCCTGACTCCTGCCTATGTACAAAACGATCTAATTCCTCCTTCAAAGCATAAGCATTATTTAGTGGCTTCATTGGGAAATAGCTCAGTACAATATTGAGTGAGTTAATAGGGAATAAACTATTACAATAAATGGTCAACTAATGAACTATTATAATAATTGTCAACTTCTGCAGTGACATTGTATATATATATAAAATCATTAACATTTCACAGATTTTTTTCCATCCCCTTTTCCAACTTGCTTTCTCCTCTCAAATGTGTTGGAAAGACTTGTCCCTTCCACCCTGATTGGAAATTCTGAGAATTGCAGACACATGGGTAAGTGGTTGGAGGAAAAGTAGCTTAATTTCTACTTAAAAGCAATTTCTCACCCCAGCCACTGTTGTTAACACAGCATTTGGCCAGCAAAGTTATTTAGATTCTCTTGAATCTTGATGTCACATGGGCAAAGCCTTTTATGGTTTGGCACCAACCTACTGTCAGGACCATATTCATTATTAGAATCAGCTTGTCCTATTCAATTTTTCTGGGAAAAGCACCAGGTTTTCTTTGGGGAGATGAGGGGAGATGAAATGCAGGAGTGCTGCATTTTTGTATCAATACCAGCCTCTGGAATCACCTCCCACTGGAAGCTAGATGGAGTTCCATCAGAGGACATTTAGGACTGATTTGGGGGATTTTCTGGTTGTTAGGTTTCTAGGCTTTATATAATGTTAATTGGACCATGAATGTTTTAAGGCTTTTTGCATTCTACAAAGCTGTCAAGAGTTCTGTGGGATTGAGGTGGGGTATGTAACGCATAAATAAATACAGCCTTGAGATGGAAATGTATGTGTATCTGAGTGTATAATGATGAAGACATTATTTCAGAAGCTGATTTGGTCACTTGCCTGGAGATTCAAATGACCCATAATCCCTTTAGTTCTGTTTCAATTTTCTCCCCTAGCTTTAATGTTATTATATAGAAATAGGCTTTTTGCATTTTATGACTAGAGAAAAAACTTAAAACTGTCTTAGAAAATGAGGCTGTAACTGAGATTTAACAAAAGAGAAAATGGATTAAGATCAGAAATCAGAAGATATGGCCCGCTGGGAATCTTTTTCTGCTACCTTCCTCCTGAACATGTATGCTTTTCAACTGGGCTTGCATAACAGTGTCCAAGAGACTAAATCCACTATTTTTTATGTTTCAAATATAGTCTTCTTATGTTACCTATTTCTAGTTTTCTAGAATATTTAGAGCTTTTTAAAATGTATCTTATTTAGTTGTAAATACTAAGGCTGAATTACCTTAGGAAAGAATAGCATTTTAGGAGAAGAGGCTTTCAAGCAGTGACCCACAACCTTTTGGGCACCAGGGACTGGTTCCATGGAGAAAGTTTTTTCCATGGACCGGAGGCGGGCATGGTTTTGCATGCTGCCTGCATCCTGCCATATGGGGCTTCACTTGTTTGCGTGACCCAGTTTCTGGCATGCCACAAAATGGTGCCGGTCCATGGACCAAGGGTTGGGGATCCCTGCTTTAAAGACAATGAGAGAGAAAAGAGCTGGAATGTAAAAAGAATACTGCCAAAATTATTCTGGGTATGGATACTGCCAAAATTACTCTGGGTCAATCTCTCCACAACTGAAGAACCCACAGCAGGATACATTTTAGCCACCAATGAAGTTCACACAAACATACATTCAGAGAATAAATGTATGCCACACAAAGAAACCCTAGTCTACAAAAGTGATCAGAAGATATGTGTCTACCAAGAACCTGGTGCTGCTATAAGTATACTGTGGGTTTGCTAAATTTTTGAAAAGGCTGGGCAAGAATCCATGGTAGATTCAGGTTTTTTGTCTTTCAAAAAAATATGTGACCTTCATATTGGTAAGTAGTCAGACTGTTGAAGAAGCCAGACATTGATAGAATACTCTTGCTTTGTAAGTTACAAATGGTAGATATAGAAATGTTATATTTGAAGTAAAGAGATGGAACTGGGCAAAACTTACCTGTGTTACCTGCACTTGGTGGTCTATGTGTCACCCCAGGAGACATGCTATTCCGCTGTAAGGAAGGGTGGGTCAGAGGCAAAAGGTTGGGGTTACCCAATGAGCTAACTGGGTTGCTGTATACCAAGCTGTTGTGGTTGGACACTGGGATAGAAACTGGCATCTCAAAGTTAGGTGGTGGAACAGCCTGTAGTAATAATAAAAAAGGGAAACAAAAGATGAGAGTAATATAGAGGTATTCATACATTATTCTGTACTTAGATCAGATGTTTTATAAATTCTGGTTAGAAAAAAGGAGTTAGGAACATAAACTGTCATCCCTGGCAAAAATTCATCCCTTGCAATGGATGAATTTTTAAATTTTAAAATTGGTAACGGATATGTCTTCTCTACCCCATCTTTCCACGTTTCCCTTATATTAAAGGGTGCCTGGTTTGGGTGTTTCCTGCCCTGCTTATTTTTTACAACCCTTGTTTCATTAAGGTTTCTTCCACTCATTGAAATCAATATTACTTAGTAGTGGAATTCTAATATGGTGTCACAGATGAAACATTATAGATATATGATTATGAGAGCCATACTATATAAATAAATATCAGAAAGTGAAAAAAATGCAAAAGGAAAGCATTTATTTTCAGTATTATGAGATTTAGAAGAATTGTAAATTATTCAGTGAAAAGCAAACTGGCTGAACGATGGTTTCTTTGCAAAAATTAATAATCTCAATTGGTTTTTTTATGAATATATCAGGACCACGACCAATGGTGTTTATCATATAAACTGAAATAATGTGACTTGATGTGACTTGATATCTAATTCCATGAATGGATTTCTGCTCATACAGTGCTTTTATTCTTGGAATTCATAGAGAGAAGAATCTGATTTGCACCTATCCTTCATCCCTTCCATTAATTCCCATTCTTCCTTTTCCTGCAAAAAACTGGTTTAAAAAGTTACAGAATTCTCCAAACGTTTAGGACAGGTGGTCCGCAGAGAATGTGTGTGTCAAAAATTCAATTTGGCAGCCATAACTGTGTGACTGAAGTCCTCTTCTGAACTTTTTTATCCCCTCCCACTACAAATGCCATCTTCAAAGCGCTCCATGGCATCGGACCTGGATATCTCCGAGACCGCCTTCTGCCGCAGATTACCTCCCATCGGCCAGTACGCTCCCACAGAGTGGGTCTCCTCAGGGTGCCGTCAGCCAGACAGTGCCGGCTGGCGACCTCCAGGGGGAGGGCCTTCTCGGTGGGAGCCCCCACCCTCTGGAATGAACTGCCCCCAGAGATCCGGGTGATTCCGGATCTCCCCTCCTTCCGCCGCGCCCTAAAGACATGGCTCTTCCAACAAGCAGGATTGGCCTAGGGAATTTTAGTGGGGTTTTTAAGAGAAATTTTAATTATATAGGCCATAACAAATATTTCTTTTTAATTCGGTTTTAAACTAGGTATTTATTGTAACATTGGTTTTATAAGGCTGTCAGCCGCCCTGAGTCCGGTAAGGAGAAGGGCGGGATATAAATTGAATTAATAAATAAAATAAATTAGGGTGTAGCACAGGAGGAGGAATATTACCTCTTCCAATTTCTACTTGGAAAAAAACTTTCTGGGTCAAAAGCCTTTCTGCAAACTTTAAAAATAAAACCCTGACTGGAACCATGACTTCTGTGCAATGCTAGCTTATGCAAATGTTTGCAATTTGTCACTATTAATGCAGCAGATTAAAAAAAAAGATTTTATTTGGTAAACCAGAATACTTAATCAGATGGCATGTCAAAACAGCAGAGCCAAATTGTTCATTACTATACTTATGCATTATGTTTGCATTTTGAATATTTCTTAATATAGGCAGAAGCAACCCTATTGAAGCAATTACTATGAAACACATTGTGCAGCCTGCAGTCCAGTAGCATGATGAAATTGTGGGATGAGGTTGACCTCTGGCCTACCTTCCAGTTATTTAATTTTTAAATAAAAGAGCCATTCTGAAAAGCCACTAAATTACAATGTCTTTAGTAATATTTCATAGCATTCTTTTGGCCTTTGGTTATTTAATTTTATTCATTCACAACTATCTCCTTACTTTCTTCTGTGCTATAGAGTATAAAGTGACTAAATGAATTTCAGTAAGGAAAGAAGAAAATGGATGAAATACTTAATACTTCCAGCCTTTATGATTCTATTTTTCAGCCATTACATTACTCCATACTAGATCAGAAGCAGGGCAAGGACTTTTCAAATAAAATATATTTACATAGCTTGTATGATCAGTTTGTAAAAAAGTAAAATGTTGAAAATTCTCTATGTGACATTCCTTATTTGTGAAATCTAAGATACCAAAACAACAACAACAACAACAACTCAGAAACTCTTTAAAAAAGTGACAACCAACAATGCAAATCACTTACTGATAATGCTTTGATCACAGAGAGGATAATTTTTTCTCATGAAACTGTTTCCACATGTGTTTTATAGAAACTAGCCTAACAATTTCTTTTAATCAGGTGCTACCAGATCAGCGGTCAATAGAGGTGATAGGTAGTTAACCCTAGGTCAATAGTATCTTTTCAAGGCACTCAGATTACAGTTTAAAGGCTCTCTTCACATTAAACAAAATCCTGCTATGTTCTATCTCTGTTTTAAAGACAACACTATTACAAAGCATGGATCTGGAACAAAGCCTAAGGAAAGCATCATGGAGGAAACTACTTGACACAATATCTTCATGCAGCAGCTATAATTTCTGGAATTTGCTTGCAACTTCTTTACTTCTGGTACTGTCAGGTAAACTATCAAGCTGAACATGTTCGCTCCAACTTACATGCTAACGTGATAGTATTATAGGGAAAATAACTGCTTCTGTAAGTAGCTACCATGGTGCACTGATAGTAAACTAAAAAAGCCAATCACAAGAACCTGTGAATAAGAATGGTATTTTTCATTCTTTGGTACATCTGAAGCACGAGTGTCAAACGCCCTGGGCCGGATCGTCATGTGCAGGCCATGCCCACCCCAGCTCCGCAAAGGCCAAAAACGTCATGATATGTCATGTGATGCAATTGAGTTTGACACCCGTGATCTGAAGTACCTCTTAGGGTTTTGGCTGACAAATACATTTTTACAAGTTGCAGTACAATACAGAAAACAGGCATTCATAGTAGCTGGTTGCAGGTACGGCTTACACTTTCCCCTTTTTGTAATAAACACCACACAGTTCTTGAGCAGGATACTTTCATGATCAGGATAATATTAAGCAGTGACTCTGAATCTTATTCACCAGAAATGATTTTCGTTTCAATTTTATGGATTGATTTTATTGTGATCTGCCTATTTTAAACTATTATCTACTTTACACTGATAATTATTGATATTGTATTTTATGATTGTTTCTAAGCAATACTTTTAGCTTTTAGATGAACAATAAAAAAAGAAAAGACACCTGTTACTATAATCACCATTATCACATCAGACTCTGCTAGGTTTTTTTTTTTTAAAAAAATCACAATATCTGAAAATGGTTCAGGAAGCACAGTTGGTTCAAAACAAAATGACTAGAATATTTATTTATTTGTTACTGCATTTATATTTCCTCCATTTCCTTTAGAAGCTCAAGGCAGCTTACATTCAAGATGTCCTAGGTTAGTCCAACACCCTAACACTTATATCATCCTAGTTCTCCTATAGAAGCTGGGTAGTTGCTACCTGCCCCATATCAGTTATACTGGGTGCTAAGAGATTGGATTTTCTCAATGTTACATCCTAATTTTGGAACAGAAAGATAAGTCTTTATCACTGCTGGATAACAAAAAATAACAAAAAGCAAGCTAACTAACAAAAATATCTATAGGACTTTTATTCTAATTGTACTTAGCTGAATTCTGGTGCATTTGCAAAAAAAAGCTGCTATAATATTTTTGAATTTGAGCTTTTAATATTAAAACTGATTGTTATATTTTATGGGCTTTAAAGTTTTGTTACCTCTCTGTGAAAATAAAATAAAACACAAACTTGTAAAGACTATTCCATAGAGATGAAATTGAGAATAGCGCATATAAAAAGGCATAAATCTAATTCGGAAGGAAAGTTTGAGAAAGTTAAAAGGGTCCTGCACATTCTTCCCTGTAGCTCTTTTAGAATGTCTGAAGATAATCTAAATATAGTGAGAATCATTGTTATGTGTCAAACGAAGTTGTTTAAAAGACTATCTTGACTTTCCTTTAGACCAAATTGGAAAACAAATTTTAAAAACACTTCTGCGTTCTTGAGGTATGTCTGCTTGAGGATGTTTTTCAACACACATACTACAGCAAAGGAAGAAGCATGAATTATGATGAAGGCTTAGTTTCTTAGGAAACATGTGCACCATATAATTTGAAATATCATACAATTATGTATCCAAGTATAGAAACACAATGGGTGAAATTCACTCTTTAAAGCTCAGAGCCCAAATTTTGGGTTATGCAACAGGAACTTTTGGGAACTTGTGAGCTAGGAATAGAATCTATTATGTAGGGAGTTTCAAGAACTCCTCTTCCAGCACAACTTTCTGGCACTCTTGGGTCCTCCTGAAACAGCACAAAATCTTAAAAAACTTTCAGCCACATCCTCCATGTAGAAAACCTTAGCATACAAGGGTACAAATCCAAGTGATCAAATGGTGGAGAAATGCCCATTAGGAGCTCAGAAATAAAGAGCTACTTGTTGGTAACAGCACACAATGCAACTTTCTGAAGTCCAACTACAACTATACTTTGGGCAGAGCTCCAGGCTATCGTAGAACCATACGGTTGGAAGAGATTTTTTAACTTTCTAGCTAGTGGAGGATCTACTAAAACATCTCTGACAGATCACCATTAAACCTCTGTTTGAAGACTCACCAGATGGTAGCCTGTTTCACTATAAAACTCTCCAGGTATAATTGTTGCTGTTCAGAATCAGCTGTTCATGATATTGCTTTCTGATTTCTCTCTGATGCCTAGTTAATTTAACCTGGAGCCCACCCAGCTACAACTGCAATAGGGATTGAGTGATTCTGAACCAAATAGAATAATGCCATTAGACCAGGGGTAGTCAACCTTGGCTCTTTTATGACTCGTGGACTTCAATTCCCAGAATTCCTGAGCCAGCTTAGCTGGCTCAGGAATTCTGGGAGTTGAAGTCCACGAGTCATAAAAGAGCCAAGGTTGAC